ATCAACCTACTTTTACTCTCAATTTCTCCAAAGGTAAAAACTTCAATCTCTACCTCATATTTTATTTATTTACAAAGTAAGAAACAAAAAACACACATTTTCACAAAAATAACATATTCAGTATAATTTCACAAGTAAAATATGAAGAAGTTGATGTTCACAATGTAGAGTAGAGAGTAGAGATTATTTTCGTAGACCTTCTGCTTAAGTAAAAAATGTCTTCCTAAATTTAGAAATAATTTAATAACTTCTTTCTTCTTATTTTACCTTTAGTGAGATGATTATTTATAATCACAAAAAATATATGACTTGGTTATAAATCAAAAGTTCCAAAATTCTTTATTTCTTTCTTAAAAACTTTTTTCTGTTACATTTGGATTAACAACTTTCTCGGACATTTTCTAGATATATGATATAAATTTTGTATGTTATTATAATTTGGTCATCCAAGAAATGTAATATAAATTTGTGCGAATGTAGGTTCAAGTCAAGTCATTGCTCAATATTATCAACTTATCCGGTTGGGCTATGAGGTAAAATTAATTAGATTTTGTAAATTCATAAATATAATTTTTTTAATTTATATAATCAATATACTTTTGTAATTAAATTGCAGGGATATCGAAATGTAATGGAAAATTGTCGTGAAAACGCAATTATGTTAAGAGAAGGACTTGAAAAAACAGGACGTTTCAACATAGTCTCTAAAGATGAAGGTGTCCCATTGGTGGCATTTTCCCTCAAGGACAATAGTCTTCACAATGAATTCGAGGTCTCCGAGACGCTCCGTAGGTTCGGGTGGATTGTCCCGGCCTACACTATGCCAGCTGACGCACAACACGTCACAGTGTTGCGCGTCGTGATCAGGGAGGACTTCTCCCGGACCCTGGCAGAGCGTCTCGTCTTTGACATCGTCAAAGTCCTGCACGAGCTCGACACACTTCCGGCTAGGTTGAGTGCCAAAATGGAGGAGGTTGGGGAGGAGAATTTGGTGATCAAGAACAATGGAAAGAAAACAGAAATTGAAGTTCAAAGGGAAGTTACTGATTTTTGGAAGAAGTTTGTTTTAGCTAGGAAAGCAGCTGTTTGCTAGGAAAGGATTAATTGTTGAAGGAATAAGTATTAGTAGTAACTTTTTATTATTAATTACAAAAAATATGATTTTTCTTTTAGATTATCTTGATGAGTAACTAACAAAATTTTATGAAGGATGATAGGTGTATCATCTTTTCTACTATTGACCTAATAAAATATTACGATTGCTATGTTTCATTACACCTCGTTTTATTATTCTTGTAGAATTTTTCTTAAATTTATTTTTCACTATGTCAAGTCTTTTGTTCTTCATATTTTTGGTTTGTACAATAATAATTGGTATTCCACAGGCAAATCGCATGCACTTTTACCTATATCATATTAATATGAAAAGAATTTTTTTTTGTATGTACTTTTTGTATAATTGTTAAAATATTTAAATTTTAATTTTAAAATATTTAACTAATCTATTCAATTTAATTTTGATAATTAGTCAAAATTTAACTCTCAAATAGGTGAAACATGAAAAGTAAAAAAGTAATATTTCCAGCCAGACACATTGGGATAGAAAGTATCAACTGCTTTTTATATTGTGTATATTTTGTTGATTGTGTTGTCCAAAAATTGAACTATATTCTCTACAATTATTGCTTCACAGATTGTTCTCATTTATTTGAACTTAATAAAGGTTTGAATCTTAATCATTCAAATTCAGCTTATTAAGTGTGTTTGTTTTTTAGGTCTAAATCCTAATCATTCAGAGTCAGCCCACTAAGTTCGTTTGTTTCTTTTTTTTTAAAAGTCTCTTAATGAATCTGAAAAGATCTGAATAGATCTGTAAGAGAGTCTTAACACCATTCAAACTCATTTAATACACCATATGCCCATATTCCACAAAATATCACACACGCTTCTACCTCTCCCTATCACGCAGTATGTTTCTGCCTCGTCCTCTCTCTGCAAACTTCATACAACTATACTTGATTGTAAATATAGATGTAAAGA